TGTCGCACAGTTCAGTGTCGCACAGTTCAGTGTCGCACAGTTCAGTGTCGCACAGTTCAGTTTCGCACATTTTCAGTTTCGCACATTCACTTTTCAGCATTCCAATTCAAGCATTTCGATAGTAGTTGCAAGACTGACCAAACAGCAAAAGAATTAATTTTCCTTGGCCTTTTTTACAAAAATAGTTTGATTTTCACTTAATTTTGTTTTTTCTAATTCTTGATTACTTCACCATGTATCTGTTACATGTGCAATGACACTGAACTATGCGAAACTGAACTGTGCGAAAGTGAACTGTGCGAAACTGACATGTGCGAAACTGAAATGTGCGAAACTGAACTGTGCGACACTGAACTGTGCGACACTGAACAGTGCGACACTGGACTGTGCGACACTGAACTGTGCGACACTGAACTGTGCGTAAAAGAACTGTCCAATTGAACAAACGCTGATTTAGAAAGATTTATTATTTATAAATTAACAAAATTTCCAAACAGGGCTCTACATGCATATGCGTGTGTCTGTGTGTTTTAAATTATATTTCAATAACCTGTGTCCAAAAGCAACGGTGTCCAATTGTACGGCACAAGAACTGTGTCCAAATGAACGGTGCGCAAAAGAACTGTGCGCAAAAGAACTGTGCGCAACATTATGTGTCCAATAGCACTGTGTGCAATTGCATCGTGTCCAATTGTACTGTGCGCAATTGAAGGCTTCTCTTTCGACACTTACCGCTAAGGGCTGCGTTCAGAAATCCTACTCGTTGGGTAGAGTAGAGTTGAGTGTGGTTGAATGTAAACTCTACCCAGAGTGATATCTAATCAAGCGACTTTCCGAACGTACAAGGTAAAGAACAATGTATATAACAATGGCGGAACAAAGAGTTCGGCGAAATAGAATATTATCTTTTGTAGTAACATGTGATCATAAATTACGACATGTATTGATGAGTGTTATAAATAAAATTGATAATACTGAAAGTGACGATGGCCTCCTTTGAGGAGGCCTTTTTAAACAAAGATATTCGGCGAATCCGAGGGCAACGGCGAAAGCCTGCACGTATAGCAGGTTATGTAGAAAATGTAATTCCACGTTACACTGGACAACAATTTCGACATCATTTTCGAATGACACCTCAAGTTTTTGAAACCCTAGAAAATCGTCTAGGACGGTTAATAGATGACGTCGACAGGTTAGGACGTCCAATGACGCCTGTGCGTATACAATTGTTGTCAACAATCTGGCTTCTTGGTACGCCAGATTCTTTTAGGTATGTGACATTACGAAGTTTCAATTTTATATGAGTGTTTGAATGTAAACAATGCCTATAATAAATAAGATTTTTGTTGCAGATCTGTGGGCGAAAAGTTTGACTTAGGCAAGTCTTCTCTAAATGACTGTGTGCGTCGTGTTGTTAAAGCATTAAACAGCATTGCTGATGAAGTCATTAAATGGCCGAAAGGTCCACAATTAGCAGCTTCTAAGGACAAATTCAGTTGTCTCGGTGATGCTCCTTTGCCTGGTATAATCGGAGCTGTTGATGGTTTTTATGGCTCCTGGGTTGTCACTGCGGCCATATTGAATTTTGACGTCAGAAGCGAGAAATGACACCAAGAATTCTTGCGTGGCATTTCCAAATAAAAAGATATTCGACCAAAAGTACACTTTAGTCCGTTTTAGCACACTTCCAAAAGACTCCGTAAACTATCCTTTTCCCTTGGCAGCTAATAAACAACTCTACAGTAAACGTCAAAGTTAGTCAAATTATGCAAGAAAACACATGATTTGACACTGCCGAAAGGAGTGGAAAATGTCTTTCTACGATTAGAATTCCTCGCTAATCTTAGTTTTCGGAGCTTTTTGGGGGTTTCACGAATAGGTCACACGTAACAGAACTAGCGTAAAAGAAATAATTACGAAAATCCACGCAAGAATAAATTGTGTTGTCAATCTGTCAGTTTTCACGCCTAATACTTCAGCCGGCGACAGGATAGGGTTCTTATTCCTACCGCTAGCGACTATGTCGCCACCGTCATCGCGGAGTTCTCGGCTCAGGGACCAGGAGCCTTATATACATATTTTTATGTATTAAAAGGATTTTAAATATTTCATTTTATAAAGAGATTACAAATATGTGTCAAAGTGTACCTCCTTCCCGTGCAGCTCGAAATTCTAAAACTGCGGTTTTAGAATTAATCTTTTATCTTTTAATGGCGTCACCTATTGGTTATGGGTTCTTTGGGCCCGTTTTCTTGGAAATGGAAAGGAGATGCATTTTAGCACTGATGTATTTGTAATCAGCTCATATTTGTAATCAGCTCAACGAGATGTTTTGTTTGATGCTGAACATAACTAAAACTGTGCTTTTAGATTTAACTTTTTAATGCGACCATCTGCTGACCATGGGACCTGTGGAACCCATTTTCTCTGTAACAGGAAGGAGGTACACTTTAGCACCGACATATTTAACTAAAGCAACTAGTTCGTATAAATATCCATTGTTATATTTGGCGCAATTTATTGATATCATTACTTTTGTAGAGAAGATAGTTTTGTAGAGACGATATTTTTGTAAAGAAAATATTTTTATAGAGATGACATTTTTGTAGAGAAAATACTTTTGCAGAAAATATTACCTACATTATTTTTCCGATAAAATTTTTAGTTTGATTTTTAAGAGAATTACTTTTGTAGAGAAGATACTTTTGTAGAGACGATACTTTTGTAGAGACGATATTTTTGTAGAGAAGATTTTGTAAGGAAGATACTTTTGTTAGAGAAGATATTTTTGTAGAGAAGATTTTGTAAGGACGATACTTTTGTTAGAGAAGATATTTTTAAAGAGAAGATTTTGTAAGGAAGATACTTTTGTTAGATTAGTTATACAAAGGTTAATGATGAGCAAATTTATAACATTTTGAAATATTAATTTTGTTCCAGATGAAACTTACTGTGCACAATATTTTGCAAATTTATCTACTGATGCAACAGAATCGCATGTTGATGATACTGAATGCATCGATGATAGTGATAATGGTAAGCATTACTTAATATTGCTAAATTAACTTTAGTTTATTATTATTATTTATTATGTGTCTTAGATTCAAAAGCATTATGGGATCGTAAATCAACTAAAATGATATTAGCAAAATATCTGGAGCGGCTCTCAAAATTTCGGAATTCCAAATTTAAAAAAACTTTGGAAGGAAATGGAAACTGAAATGAAGGCATTGGGATATTCAAAAACTAATGCCCATAGTATCGATCGGAAAATACGAAACATGAAGTCAACGTATAAACGGATAAAAAATAATAAGAAAAAACTGGAAGGGGCCGCGAGGATTGGGTGTTTTACAACGAGATGGATGAAATTTTCAATATGAATAAGTCTGTAAATTTCGAAGAAGGAATTTCATCAATGGAGAGTGGGCAAGATTCTACTAACGAAGCTATAGATTTTTCAAAGCACAGGTTATCGTCACCAACCTTATCTTTTCAACACTTCAATGATATTAATAACAGTACAATATTTTTGAATTACGTTGATTCTGCTTCATCAAATTATAATGCGTTTTCGGACAGTGATTTAGAAAGTAGCAGTGAGAGACCATCGACATCATTGAGTAACGTATTTGATGAACAGTCTTCAATTTCAAATGATGAAACAAGTACTCATGATGCTTCTACCAGAGATTCCAATGAAGGAACACCATTAAATAAAAAGAAACTGTATAACCAAAGAAATAAAGCTATAGAACTGGAATTAAGAAAACTCAACATTTTAGAAAGTATAGAGAAGAAACAGGAGTCTAAAAATATGATTGAAAAACAGTTGGAAAGATTTGCGACTGTATTAGAAACAAAAAATGAATTGGCTAAAAAGAAAATCGACATATTAGAAAAAAGAATGAGTTATTGTACATGTTATTAAAATCTAAGAATGATACTTCTAAATAAAAATTAATAGTACAAAACAAAAAATAATAGTACAAAAACTTTTGTGTTTATTTTTTATTTAATTTAATTTTATAATTTTTCAGGAGCAATATTTAAAATCTGTAAAAATACTATTTACAAAACTAAATTAAAATTTTTTTTAAGTATTGTGTGTGTATGTGTGCCTGTGTGTGCGTGTGCGTGAATAAAACTTATTTGATTTTTAAATTGGTGGATTCATAAAAAAATATGTGCTGGTTTTCAGGACTGGTTATACGATTTCAAATTTCTTAATATTGCGCGTTACAGTATTTGCAACCTGTTCGCAATTTCTTGTCTTTTTAGTCGCCCATTGTCACCTAGACATTCATTATTATCACTTTCATCGCTGTCTTGATCTTCACGCTCAATATATTCGTTTATATATAAATTGTCTTTTATTTCAATTTCATTACGAGTAGGGTATATAGGGGGATTCTACCCCGGGAGCTCCTAGGAGGGAGCGGGGCGGGGGGTACTCCGCGGCGAGGGGACAGCAGGGAGGGGGGTACTCCGTGGCGGGGGGACCGCGGGGAGGAGGGAAGTACGCGACCTTGACGTCACGCAAGGTGCTGACCTGTCACTACGTGACATGTAACAGATATCTAGGTGCTGACTTGTCATTCGTTTCTTTTTAGCGCGAACACCTGGACGGGTTATTCTTATGAGTCACGGGGTCAAGCGCCGAAACCTGGCTGCTGACAGTGACTTTCTTATCAAGGTGAACGATATCGAGGAGTTCCACGTTTATTATTCCACGACGCTTGTCGATCCGCGGGGCGCGGGGAAGGAGATATTCTGCGGCGATTCGCGGGGCGCGGGGAGGGGGAGGACCGCGACGCTACGCGATCCGCGACGCGATGGCGCGGGGAGGACCGCGGCGCTACGCGATCCGCGGCGCGGGGAGGTCCGCGGCGCGAGGCAATCCGCGACACATGCATGTAATCACGAGACACGGTAGTGTCTCGCGCCAAGTGTAAGCGTAGCTAGTACACGCGTGCGAGACCGACCGTGTACGTTTACGCGAGTACACGAGTTGACGGGTCCTCAGATTTTCGGATCTCAACAACGGCTGATCCGACGAAATTGAGACTGCGCTTAATCGATAGCTTGGGTACGATTTGCATAATAAAAGTGCTTTTACTTTTCTCCTACGTGCTCCAGGAGTGGAGGTATTGCAATGCAAAAGTCAGATTTGTTAAATTTTGGATTAAGAAACGTCTTTGTCGTCGTCTTCGTCCCGGTCATCGTCTTCGTCCCGGTCGTCGTCGTCGTCGTCGACCAGACCAGCATTTTCACTTGATCACTTGACCTCGTTGCAATTGACCACGGTCCCGATTGACCACGTTGCAATTAACCACGGTCCCGATTGACCACGTTGCACTTGACCACG